GGGATCCCAGGGCAGCTAGTTTTCTGTTCCAGCGGCTCAGTGCTGCTGTTCAAAGGGGTAATGCCTGCTGTATTTTGGGCACACGCCCCAGCTCTGAGGAGCTGGATGAGATTTTCGCCTTATAATCGGTGATACACACGTAACAACATGTACCTTATATGCCACTTTTATATCAACAATGTATCTCTTAAATCTTCTGTACCATATTATGTAATAAAATATTTATATTGGTAAAAAAAATATATATATATGAAAAGATGGGGTTTACCTGGAGACCTGGAGAGAGTTCCGGGGGTCAACGCCCCCGCGGCCCGGTCTGTGACCAGGCCTCCTTGTGACCGGGGTGGTAGGGGAAGTGGAATATTCAAACGGCTTTAGGAAGAAATCCAAATATTCTTCCTTGAAGCCTTTTTATCCACTTCTCCGAGGCTGTGGGTCCCACAAGTTACACCAGAGGTGGACCCCATCCTATGTATATATATATATATATATATATATATATATATATATATATATATATATATATATATATATATATATATATATATATATATATATATATATATATATATATATATAAATATATATATATATATATATATATATATATATATATATATATATATATATATATATATATATATATATATATATATATATATATATATATATATATATATATATATATATATATATATATATTCAACAAATCGGCAGTTTCCCACCGAGGCAGGGTGACCCAAAAAAGGAAGAAAATCCCCAAAAAGAAAATACTTTCATCATCATTCAACACTTTCACCTCATACATGATCAGTGTTTCTACAGAGGCACCCAGAACACAACAGTTTAGAAGTATATATAAGGATACACAACATATCCCTCCAAACTGCCAATATCCCAAACCCTCCCTTAGAGTGCAGGCAACATTGTACTTCCCATTTCCAGGACTCAAGTCCGACTATATAAAAATAACCGGTTTCCCTGAATCCCTTCACGAAATATTACCCTGCTCACACTCCAACAGCTCGTCAGGTCCCAACAGCCATTCGTCTCCATTCACTCCTATCTAACACGCTCACGCCCGCTTACTGGAAGTCCAAGCCCCTCGCCCACAAAACCTCCTTTACCCTTATATATATATATATATATATATATATATATATATATATATAATATATATATATATATATATATATATATATATATATATATATATATGTATGTATATATATATTAATCTTGTGTGCCTGTTCTTTATGTGCTTCGGGGAGTTGAGCTACAGCTTGTGGTCCCGCCTCTCAACTTTTCCCTCCACTAAAAAGTGTTTATTTACTCTGTACCGCCTGAGCGGCTAGTTAGGTACACCTGAAGACTAGTTAGGTACACCTGAAGGCTAGTTAAGTAGACCTGAAGGGGTATGTCCTACGAGGAGAGGTTAAAGGAAAGGAAGAATATTTCAGAGATGGGATACAGGAGCAAATGGGTACAAATGGAAGTTAAAGGCTGAGGTTAGTCATAAGGATGTTAGCAAGTATTTCTTCAGCCTTAGAGTAGTTAGGAAGTGGAAGGAACTGGAGAGTGAAACGGTAGAGGCAGGATCCATTCACATCTTAAAGAAGCCAGGAGAGAGTGGATCTAGTAGTGACCATTGAAGAGGCGGGGCCAGCAGCTGTGACTCGTACCCCGCAATTACATATAGGTGAGTACACCAACACAGACACAAACACACACACACACACACACACACACACACACACACACACACACACACACACACACACACACACACACACACACACACACACACGCCCTCGCGTCCCCTCTCCCACATAATTTCAGAACCAAATTTAACAAGAGAAAGTACACGCACCTCTCTAAACAACTCACTTATCACCTGATCTTTATGTTCTAGCCTCTCTCTGCCAACTGTGTTTATTCTTTTCAAGACTATAAAAATTACTCGATGGGGAGATAACATTAATTGACCTTCACTCTTTTTTAATTGGGTGTTGAATGGCGAAGTGTTTGTGTGTGTGTGTAATTACCTATTTGTAATTAACCCCTCGTAATTACCTATTTGCAGGAAGAGGAACAATGCTTATGGTGCCTCATCTATAGTGATCGCCCTCTCTGATATTGTCTTCAAAAAAATGAGAAAGTCGAGGCGTATTTTGGGATCGAATCTGTCACTTAAGGGAAAATAGAACATCCCTTTACCACTTTGTGTCCCTAAGTGACACCACTTGGTGTCACTTAGGGAAAGAGGAACACTCATGACCACTTTAAACTTGCCCTGTACACGAGTCGTGTCTCACAACACCCCGTCAAGTGGATGCAGGATCTGACCAACCACAATATTCCATAAAAAAAAAAAAGACACAGGAGCAAAACGATCTTTTCTTGCGGCAACGTTTCGCTCAGTGTCGAGGTTTATCAAGCAAATGTTGCCACAATAATTGCCAATTTTGTACCTGTTTTTTTTTAGCTCTGCAAAGATAGT